AAAAGCCGAAAAACGTTATTTTCGGCTTTTTTTCGGTTCGGGATCCCGAAATGCACATCCCTAATAAAGAGAGTGATTTAAATGTGGAATTCGTTGCCAGAGGATGTAGTGATGGCCACAGGAATAAACAACATTAAAAGGAGATTAGATAGGTTCAATGACTACTAGCCATGGTGGCTGCGGGGAACCTCCACATTCAGAGGCACCAAGCCTAGAGGAATGGGAATAAGGGCACAAAATTCCTTTTCCATAAATGAAGGCTTCTCATAAGGGCAACTGTACTTCATCCAGCCTCTTCATCCATTCTGGAGCAAAACTTGGTTTAGGCTGAAGGAGCTCTTTGGTGTTCAGGTTTTTTCTGTGTTGTTCAGGCTCAGCTTCTCCTGTGTTTTGGATGGTTTTAGATCTTTGTTGGTGCAGAATGCGGCGGCCATGCTGATGATGGGTCTCCCCAAGTGGGAACACATCTGGCCTGGGCTGGAAGCGCTGCACTGGCTGCCAATAGCATACCGAATCCGTTTCAAAGTGCTGGTACTTGCCTTTAAAGCCCTACATGGCCAGGGTCCGACTTGCCTGAGGGACTGCCTTACCCCACATATACCCCCAAGAGCACTTCGGTTGGGGACACAACATTGCCTGGTGATTCCAGGCCCCCGAGAGGCAAGGCTCACCGCGGCCAGGGCCAGATCCTTTTCTGTGGCGGCCCCTACCTGGTAGAATGAGCTCAGCCTACCTGGTGGAGGAGATCAGGGCCCTGCAGGACCTTATGCAGTTCCACAGGGCCTGCAAGATGGAGCTCTTTCTCCAGGCTTTCGCATAGGGGCCGCCACTGCCACCACCACCAATGGTGTGGATAACAACGGGGCTAGGGATGGCCCCAGGAAGATCTTCTACAACACCACGTGGCACTGGTACCGCCCGACTTACTTGGGACCAACTACAGGACAAGATCACCCCCAAAGAACTGACTGTTACTATCATGAGATTTATTCGGGGACCATCCTGTTTTCAAGGAGCACTTTATTTGTATCTGTGTTATTGAATGGTTTCATTGCTTTTATGTTTTACGTGGGCTCTGCCCCTTGTAAGCCACCCTGAGCCCGCTCACAGGGAGGGCAGGGTAAAAATGTCATAAATAAATAGATCCCCACCCACAAGGCCAAATTGCTTCTCTTGCCTACTGGTTCCAAGAGGCAGAACATAACCCAACTGAGAATGAACTTCTATCCATGAGAAAAACAGAAGCTCATGGATAAAAACTTATTTTTCTTTCCTTCACAGGATCAATTTCCATTGCTGTTCAAACATCTACTTCTAATATTCTTTTAAAAATTCAAGTGTGTTCCATATATGAATTTATATTAAAAAGCTTTATTTACACACACAACCCCAATTTACACACACAACTTTGTGGCTGCCATTTAACAAAGCTTTGACTTGGCAGCTGCCCAATTCACTTGGCCAGTGTATGGCTAAGGGACTTGGGTGGCTCCCGGCCAGTGCCTTCCCATAGCTGCTTGGACAGCATGCTGTTTAACTGAGCTTTCTACACAGGAAGCTGCTGTCTACTGAATCAGACCATCAGTCCTTCAAAGTCAGTAGTCTACTATGGGTGTGCAAAAAAAAAAAAAAATTCGGCCCGATTCAGATTCGGCTGGATCAGGCAGAATCAATTTCGGCCCCATTATATCCTATGGGCCATTGAAGTCAATGGCGAAAACATAGGGTATATTCTGGGGGCTGCAGGGGAGGGGGTTTGAGGGAGAGGCTCCAAACTCGCAGGGTAGCTGCTGGAGCTTCTCCCCAAGATACCAGGGGGTTCAATGTTATTAAAACTTGGTGGGTGACTTCAATGGCCCTTAGGGTATAATGGGGCCGAATTGCTGCCGAAATTCAGCGGCAAGCCGATTCAGATCAGAGAATCTGAATCGGCCCACAGGGGCCCAAATGGGCCATTTTCGGGGGTGCATTCAGTTCAGACGAAGCGAATGCACATCCCTATTGTCTACTCAGACTGGCACCAGCTCTCCAGGATCTCAGGCAGAGGTCCTATATTAACTGGAGATGCCAGGGATTGAACTTGGGATCTTCTGCATGCCAAGCAGATTGTTCTGCTACCAAGCCATACCCACCCTCCCCCAGTTAACAAAGCTTTTATGGTGTTTAATGTTGTTGAATCTGCAGTGACTTAAGAGTGGGGTTGCTGAAGGCAACTTGCAGGGCAAGCACATTCTTTCGCTTCGGACGACTTGAATGATCCAGTCATCCTGCATGCAAAGATATGACAGAATGTTTTATGTCCAGGTTCTGCCATTGGAAATACACATTGGTGTAGCCCCTTCCCTCATGCTCCTCATCAAAATGGCATTCCAGAACCCTGTATCAGTCAGACCAAAGTGTTTATTGGAAAGCAGTCAAGTGTGGAAAGAGCTGTCACATTTTCCACTTGGGTGGGGGCGGAAAGGGATAACTGCCTAGACTCAGCCAACACATTTCTGTCTCCCGATGCCATACTATTTAAAGGCTCTTTGAGTTGTTCCCAAAAAAACCTCACCCATATTTTAATGTACTGTATGGGTGCTGGAAACCACATGGACATCCAGGTGGCAGGATTCCCTGAAGGGGAATTCCTATGTTGGACATCTACATCAGACCAAAAAAAAACACAAACCCCTTCGGATGCCTCAAAAAATTCTGAATGGGCTGGTTGTC